GCAGCCGGGCGGCCAGAGGTTGCCTGAATGCAAGGTAGTGAAATTTACAATTTAAAATGCATGCATAATGAATGTTGTTTGCTGCCAAATGACTTTCGGGCAAGGGGGGCCAATCGGGGGCATTACGACCATGACCCAGCACCCAGCCACCGGGGTTGCCCCTCAGTGTCGGCTGCCCCTTGGTCATGAAGCATGCGGAGCGGAACAACAAACACATAACAACAACTCAACTCGGTCAACTCGACTTCAACTGCAGCTGGAAAAATCCTTAATCTGTGTGAAAATTTAGAGGAGCGCAGTGAAATTGGGTAACGCAATGGGGACACTAAGAAAAATGCACCACATCCTTAAATTTTGCATGAATTGCGGCAAAGAAATAATACAAATTAAGAGCACGAAGGAAAATACTTTAAGTTTTTCAAATTATGCGGCTCGGCAAAAAGGATATATTTAAATATGACTTAAAGAGACCAATATAATTCTTCGGTGCATGGAAGTTTGAAAAGTTGAGAGGGGTGGAGGACATAGTAGTTGGATGAGACCATGACTGGCAGCTGGATAGATGCTTCCTTTGGCCTTTGCTTTGTTTTTTGGCTTATTTTGCATTAGAAAAGCACCAGTTCCTGGGGTGGGGGAGGGGCACGGGGCGTAGCCACCACCCACAACTCCTGTGGGTGTGTATGCACATATTTGCCCGACTTTGTTTGCCAACACACACATAAACGCACAAGCAGAGCAGCTACGGTTGAAAAATTTGTGCATAATTTTGCTAGGCGAAAATATGCTTTGGGCCTTGAGGAGAGCAGAAGCAGAAAACTGGGAAATCGATGGCAGGACACATGGCAAGCACCAAACTCCCGCTGGGATCCCTCCCTACACTTGCTTTGTTTGCGAATTAAGCTGCCGGGGAGCTGTTGTCCTTGTTCTCCTGGTGGCAGGCATTCAGTTCTATTCCCCATCTTCATCTGCATCCTCAATTGAGCTCGAAATGTTGCGTTCCTTAATTTAATTAGGCGCGTGCCGCAACAGGAAGCTGTTTGCAATCAGGCGTCGCATACAAACGCGTCGACCTCACAAGGATATATGTTATGAATGTGTGGGTGTTTACAATGTGCGCAATATTTTCATTACGTGCTCGGTACCTTGACAACCTCTGGCGACAATTTTCACCATATTTTTCCCTTTTTTGCCACGTTCTTCAGCAAGTCGCGATTTTCCTTAATTGCAGCACACACGTGACAGCGATTTATTTCTTTCCAGAGAATAGTTGTAACGATTTTCGGTTACTTGAGTCCTCACCGCAATGAAATAGTGTACACATTAAAAGTTAAACCTTTATGTATAGAGTTTTGGTCATTAAACTGGCACAAATGTAAACGAGACTGTTGCCATTTCATTTTCGTGTTATTTGATATTACTGAGCAATGAAAAAAAAACCTTTTAATTCACTGGTTTTGCGGGATTTCGATTTAACCAAACTGTTTTGATAGAGTCGTGGCCCTCATTATTTTTGTTGCTCATTAAAAGTGGCCACCCAAGTTGTCTTGGAGCTTAACTTTTCCGAACGAAACTTTTCCGATTTTATGGGCTAAGAGTGATATGACTTCGATTTCCATTAACAGCCAGCTGTTTGCAGGCACTCACACATGTGATAGAATGATACAGAATGCTCCGGACATCGGAGCCCATTAAACACATTCCAAAATTGAAAAGTCATGTTGAACTTTTTTGCTCTGCTGCTTTTTTGGCCAGTTTGCATGATTTGTATTTATCTGGGCGAGTGGAAAGCTCTTATCGGCCACAGTTGAGATAGAGGAAAACTTTCAGTTTGATTACTTAAGAATTTGGTCAATGATTTCGAATAAAGTCGAATAGTTGTCCGAAGTTCAAGTGGCAGAATGGTGCAAGGATTTTCGGATCCGCTCAAACAGACACACACACACACACACACACACACATACACACACTCACTCATTCAGAGCGGTAATAAATTTCCGCCTGCTTGAGTGCCGCAAAAAGAGAGGGAAACAGACACAGACATACGTGCGAAGTTCGCAGCACCATGATGTCCTGGCCATTATCCTGCATATAAAGTCGTTCATTTCCTTGTTGTTTTTTGGTCATTCCTGCTTTGATTTGACCGTCGACAATTTCATTGCTCCTCAGCAGAGCTCTGCACCCCGCAGTGTGTTACGGCCATTGTATTGCATACATAATAAATTTTATGAAACGTAAATTTTTATTGAGACCAATTTTTGTCGCTGCCATAAAAGCGGAGAACATGAAAGGAAAAGCTCGTTCCAATCGAAGCGAATGTTTTATTTATAGCCCAGCTTCAATTCGGAAATTAATTTCGCATTAACTATTTTCGGTGCCATATTAGAGGCGAACACGAACAGCAATATTAGAAATGCTCTGCTGGGTAAACAACAAATGTTGTGTGTGCTCCCATTTTGCTTCCACCCTTCCACCCTTCCACCCTTCCCCAAAAACCCGAAAACATTTCAAATAGTTCGAATTAGCAAAACAACACAAATGGAGAGCAAACAGAGAGCAAAGACAAAACATAAACACAAATAGAGCCCCCAATTCGAATTTGCTGCCGTAAATGAAAATGAAAATATTGCGAATCAAACGAGGCGAACTGAAACAAAGCCAAATGAAATGAAGGGGGACTTCGAACCGTGCGACCGAAATCAAATGACAAACTAGTTGGTCCCATCTGCTGATTTGTGATGGGCAAATAAAGGAAAGAAATGCTCTCCGAAAAACAAGCCAACAAAACTATCATTTACGTTGCCTCATTGTTTTGCATGCCCAAACTGCTTTTATGTGTGAGCCAACGCTGCGTATACGTAATCCGCATGTGAACTTGCCATTAAATTCGGCATTTAGATTTGCGCAGGAAAGGGGTGGTGGTGGTGGTGGTGGTGGCACAAACAACTAGTTTAGTTGGAGAAAAATGATGGAATGCCCACTTACATTTAAAACCAATTGGTTTCAGTAATTGCCTTAAGCCCCTGCGCCCTGATCCCATGCGATTATGGGATTACACTTGTGAGAAAACAACATTCAGGATAATGGCGAATGCATATTAATAACAAGCAGTAATATTTATTAAAACGCTGCCTGTTGTTGCGCTTGCCCGCATTTAAAATTCACCAGCGATGCTGTAAAGAGCTGAATTGTTAATGAAATAATGAATATATATGAGTTTAAAGGCTGAACGATTTAAGCTGCTTTCACGTGAGTAATTATATTTCAATTACATGCTGACTACGCCAGCAGATCTCCCACTGACCTAGATCACCTCTGAACTCCTGCGGAAAATGTCGAAAAAGATATTGAACTCATCGGCTTACGGCTCATTAGCACGTTTCTTCTCAAAAAGGGTGGGGTTGGGAGGAAAAGTGAGGAATTGCCAGACAACTTGATTGAACTTCAATGGCCTCTAAGATGGCTGCTCCTTGGAGCTCAAGATTAATGCTAATGTGACAACTTAATCGAAAGCCATTTACAAGTCATGTCAAGTGGAGAGCGGCTCATTCTCTGTCTCCATGGCTCTGGAGCTCGTTATTATGACAGGACCTCGATGTGGGGACTTTGGATGTAGGCTGAAGTTGGGCAAGGGCGCATGGGGGAATGGGGGCATGACGACGACAAATCCATAAAAAAGCACGTTAAATATTTGCATTAATTCCGGGAGCTGGCTGATAAGTCCTGGCTGCTAACAGCTAACAGGAAACAGGAGACAAGGAGACAAGGAGACAGGGAGACAGGGACTGTTGTTGACACTTACCCGGCAAACAAGATGCGACTGCGATGCCGATAAGGAGCAATAGTTGGGCCATCTCCGTGCTGCTCCTGCTCCTGCTGCCGCTCCACTTGCTCCTGTTTTGGCTGCTCATTTTGCCAGCAAGTCGTTTCGTCCTTATCACTAAATGCGTTACTTTGTCAACGACCCGACTTCTCGGGGTGTTTTGTGTGGACGTTAGGTGGGGCTGACTGCTGACTGCTTACTGCCTTCTGCCTTCTGCCTGCTGACTTTGACTTTTACTGCACGACTCACTCGCACTTGAATTTCAGTGTTCACGGCTCAATTTTGCGTAACAGCTATCAGTTAGGTGTGTTTATGGCTGGGGGAACCGCAAGCGGCGATCTTGCTGTGCATAAACAATAAAAAATATAGCAAAATGTAGGCCCGAACTGTCATGACAGAGAAAGCGTAACTCGAACTGGCAAGTGATTTGTTGCACGATTAGAGAAGTTCTGTGATATTTGATATTTGATGCCCAAGACGCCCAACGGTGGATCAAATTGAGTTAATTGGAATCCTTTCGGGGAATATTATTTTACGTTTCGCGCCGCACGTTTTTGTTGATGGTGTCTTGTTCCTTAATCAGAAATTTACACAATTCAGAATGGATGAAAGCACAGTGAAAATTTCAATCAAAACTTTACTCTTCTTGTCTGTGTGTTGGTGTGTCTGTTTTTATTTTTTTTATTGTTTTTGGTGGTTTTTGCCCGATTTTTGTTGTTTGTATTTTTTGCTTTTTAGCGCTCGTTAACTCCAGCGTTTCGTTTTGCGTCTTTGTTTGTTCCGTTTTTAGTCTTTTCGCCGCCTTTTGTTTTCGCAATTTTTTTTTTGCTCAATTTTTAATGCAATTTCCACGCTTAACTGCACTTTTTGCCATTTCGCTTGTTATTCCTGTTTCTTCTGATGTTACTGTTTCTCTTTCTGTCTCTGTTTCTGTTTTTGCACTGCATTTATTTACACAAAATACACTCACACACACACAGGCACAAGCTCAAGCTAACGCACACAATGGCAGGCGACCGGAAACAGACAGAGACGAAATATGTACACAATTTGCAGCGCTCTCGTTCCCTCCGGTGCATGCCAAATTCAAATTACTGCTGCAGCTATTCCAGTTATGGTTATCGCTCGCCTTGTTCCAATCCTGCAAATCAGATCAGAGCACTTCGGTCCCTCATCAAGTGGCCTTTGTCCTGCCCGAGGACTCGTATCTGCGGATCTGCGAGTCTGCGAATGTGCGAATCTGCGGATCTGGACTGGGAATCTAGGTCTGCATTCTGTCAGGAGTCGAGTCCTCGCATCTTCTTCAAATCTTCTTCTGAAAAAGCAAGAGCATAAGAATACCAGGTTAGTTTCCAATTGGTTGGTTTTACATTTTATCTATTAAAACATTACTGAGTTAGCCTTAGGTATAAATATACGATTAATTTTCCTAAAAATATTCTGTTTGCAAGAAGCGGGCTTATTTTTGAGGCTTATGCTAAGTGTGTACGGACGAGCCGCTCTTCATTTGTAATTTCCTTTGATGATGCCATGGCCTTTTGCATAAAATATTAGCACATTTTCGGCTTTTTCTCCGCTCGCAGTACCTTGCATAATATATCTGTACTACATATGGGGAAGACTTCAGGATGTCATTGCATCAGACAGACGGATAATGCGTCACCTACGCAGCTAACCATTTCTCCTTAACTTCCTAAATGACTGACGTGTGTCTGAATTGCTTACCCTTCACCACCCCACCACATAGCCCAATGTTTTTAGCCTTTGTTCCCGGGCTGCAGCCCATTATTATGCTTTATTTTCCGCTTGACACCTTTGAGCTGCGTTGCGCATTTCCCATCTGCACTCACTGTATAGATGTAGTCCGTGTAGGTGTGTGTGTGTGTGTGCGTGCGTGTCTGTGTGGGTGCTCAACCACGTGGCATTTATGCGCGACTTTTTCCCATTCGCATTCAGCGTTTTTCCCCGGCTTTGCCGACCTGGCCGAAAGGCTTAGCCAAGACTAAAGCGACCGCCCCTAGCTGCGAGCAGATAGGGGTAGTGGGGAGAGGGGAGGTGTGGGCTGGATGCTGGAAGGGTTGTACACTTTCTTATCAACATGCACGTCGACGTGAGGCAGAGACGTCATGTCGTCGTCTGAATTGAAATTTATTATTCTGCTTTGTCGTGCATGTGTGTGCGGGGTCCCGCTTTCCACATTTCCCACACTCAGGAAAAATGCACTGCGGGCCAACCAAATTATTAAAAATATTTTTCATATTCAGATGTTTTTCAAAATAAATATTTGATGACCGTAAGCTGTTTTTTTACGCTTCGATAATCTTTTTAGTATTTAAAGTTGTTTTTTCTCGTTTAAACTTTAAATTATTTGAAGTGCACTCTCTTCGCATTTGGCTCCCCTTTTTGCCGCACTCCTTTTAAGCAGTTTTGTGAGTGCCAGGCACTTTTTTGAGGTCCGCGTGTGTGTGTGTGTGTGCCCCCTCGAAAGTCCTCTTTTCAAGCATTTAATATTTTTCTTTTCTCTCGACTTTTATAATTCTTCTTTTTTCTTTTAGCACAACCATACCCAGCCAGTGCTGTCTTGCTTTTACTTTTGTTAATTGCTTTTCATCTGGGGTAAGCTGGCAAAATGTCTGGGGGCAGCTTTGATGTGCGACCTTTCATTGAGTTGAGCTTGTTGTTGGTGCTTTGGGGTCTCGCACTTAGGGATATTGTTCACATGTCTCAATTATCCTTTTGATTTTGCACACATGAAAGCGCCCCTCCGAAGTTTTGCGCTTTTGTTGGTCCAATTTCAAAGCAAAGTGCGGCCAGCGAGTGAGGCGATGAGGGATGAGGGAGGAGGGAGGAGGCTTATTGCTTTACACTGGCCAGTTATTATTAAAACGTTGTAAACCGAAACTAACAGGTTTGAATTTCTCATTTCCTGTTCGCCATTTCATGCCCCCCAAGGGCGGCAATAAAATCTGCATAATTTAGGCATTTACATGGTATGTATTATGTGTGAGATATGTATCGGACCCATTCCGAGAAACAAATGGTCACAGACGTGTCCAGTTTCCTTTTCTTTCGACCAGAGGGCCACAAGAAAATAGGATGATATTGTATCTAGTTTGTGTAGCTGTTTCTGCTGACACTTGGCGTTTTTGTTGGTATGCACGTTGCAAAAAGTTAAGTAAAAATGGCGTAAACAAGGCGAAAGAAAAGCAGAGTTGGAAATTATGCAAAGATTATGTGCGCTGTAGGTGAGTGGGGGGATCCTCATTGCGGGATCCTTGGATGCCAGATAGAATGAGCAAGTTAACTTGTCGCCGTGGTCACGACTGCTGGGTTGGTGAGGTGAGGTGTCCCGGACCAGGAGGAGCTCTAAGCCCAGCACCAACTTAAGTCGAGTGACATGTAAATCTAGCCTCAGGTTGCGGCCACGGCAGCTGCTGCTGCTGCTGCTGAAAAAGAGTTGCGGGCAAAAAACAGAGCCGAGATGATGATGATAATGCGGTCGTTCCAGACCCACTCTCAATCCCCATGCCCTGGCAATCTCACCGCCCATTACCATCCGCCATGCCCAGGAGCCACGTTTTCCTTTCTGAAAATCAGTTAAATGAGTTTGTTTACATGTTACGCCGCTGTGGCATTTTTCCTTTCCGCCAACGACTTTCCAGCAGGGGCGGCAAAACGAAATAATAACAGGAAAACTTTACAGTACGAAAGGCAGCATACCCTTGAAAAATGTCCTTAAAATAGGAAGTTCATTTATTAAACATAAAATGTTGCGCACGCTGCTGATATTGGTTTCCTTACATCTGCAGTTCCTGAATAGCACAAGTTGGGCTTAAGCCCTTCATGTTCATTCAATTTTCAATGGCATGTTTAAAACACATGATTCTTAAGAAGTTCAAGGATTATACCCTCTGCCAGGGTATGCAAAACGAAAATACTTTAAATGTATGCAAAGTGGCGGCTGGCAGGACATGGGGATGGGGTGGACGTCTATAAAGGACCCAGGAAGCGGCGCGACATTGTCTGGACGCCGTTTTTCTGCGGAAATGGATGTAGGGAACGGTCCCTGTACAATTTACTTTGGTAACTCGATATACGAAGTCGGAGTCGCAGGCCTAAAAGTATGCAGCATATAATTTGCGTTTGTTTGCCGCCGCTGCTTTATGTAATTTGCATGTAAACATGTGTTTCGCAGTCGTGCGAGTGTGTTGGTGTGTGTGATGGTGTTGGTTTGTGTTGGCCTTCTGGCAACACACAAACACTCAAGCTGGAAAAATTACGCCCAACATCAAATGATTTTGTTTAACATATTTTGTTATTAAGTGTGGAAATGTGCATATTTCGCTCCACGGAAAATTCCCCATCTGCAGTTTTCTGTTTGCGTTTTACCCCGCTCTCACCCATTCCACATAGCCATTCCGCTTCAGGATTCCCCGCTCCGTTTGCTGTTCGTGCCTGCAGTAAATTTCCGTTTGCCATCTTTCAGGACGAGGCAGCCAGACCTGGCATACTTCACTTGAACTTTGTGTAGCGTGAACTTCTTAAATTATTGGCCTAGACTCTATATAAACTGCAGACCCGGTGCCGCACACGCCCACAAAGTTCAGTTCGGTTTCGGCACCGGCAATGGGATTTTCCCAAAGGGCTGGCGAATTATGTTTTGCCAACTTGCTAACTTAGTTTGCGGCCTGATTCGACCTGCTGCCTTTTGACAATTGACAGTTCGATGGCTCGATGAAGTTTTACCAATTAGCCCCGGCTCAACGCCCGATTCCCGCTGGTTTCTTGACTGCATATCACGTGCGGCATTTGTTTGCCCCTGCTACAGTTCGGTATTGTTTTCTAGCCACCACAACAACTCGGAAAAGAACGCACGGCCATAGAAAAAAACATAGACCACATACTCGCACACATGGTTGATAGATAAACAGAGAGACAGAGGGGCGATGGACGGACATTCACTTGCACTGGGCCATAACAATTTCTTTGGCCCCGGTTCCAGATCCACAGCCACATCCACATCCATATCCTCATCCATATCCACATCCAGTTCCAGACGTGGCCGTACTTCCTAATGCCGCTTGCGACGCTCTGATGCAGCCCAATCAACGTTGCTGCAACATTATTGTTGTAAGTCGGAGCAGATCCCATTCCGCTCCTTAGCTGCACTGTGAAAAACTAGGAGGGTGCCTAAGCAACTAAACTGGGATTCTAGAAGAAAATTGCAGAAGAATACTTATCTACATTATATCGTGTTATACAGTTATGGCATGACGGAATTATCTGACAATCTTTAAACTCTGCACTACTTATTTCAAAATGATTCCTTTTCCCTGAGTGCAGCTTTCTTGCAAGGGTAGATGTGCTTAAGTCGTTCTGCCATTTCCATTGCTTTGCCAACGAGCATTTCAATTGCTTTTGCTGCGGTAGTAAATACAAAGTGTTAAATGCCCGGGGCTTACGGGCAGGAGAAGGCATAAGCTAAGCAAATACTGCTGTACGGCTATATATACCCCATATTAAAACTCAAATTCAAACTGCAACTTCAGCTCCGTCTGCTCCCAATCCCAAGCCCTACACCAATCCCAATCCTATTTTGAATCCAACTTGAAGTTAAGTCCAAGTCGCCGCGCCCGAACAAAGGCGTCGTATTCATTTCTTATTTAAAACTACCGCTTGTTGTTGGATGGTTCACCCAACAGATGGATGGATGGATGGTTGCTTGGTTGGGTGGTTGGATGGATGGATGGATACCAGGCCATTAGATCCATGACTTGGCTGCCTGCCTCTGCATTTGCCCGGCACATGGAGTTTTATTTATCGAACTGTGAATAAATATTTTGCCGTACTTGAGGCACCTTCAAAGGGGTTGGTGTTGGGTAGCGAATGAGCTAAGCGCCCTGATCTCCTAGAAGTACAAGCCGCATACCTGGCTTCAATCGACAGACCGCCCCCCGATTCCGCAATTTGCAGTTTGCAGTTTGCAGTTCCCAGCTCCCAGCTCCCAGTTCCCACTATTGACTGTAGTAATGTGTAACCTAATTCTGCGGCTGGCTTAAATGGTTTTACCGTCTATTGACTTTCTGCGCCTCCTCGATTTAGGCCCCAAAGCCGACTCTGCCTTCGGAGCCCCCGGGCTCCTAGGCTCATCTCATTACGGCTTCGGCTCATCAAAGGGGCAGAAAAGGAAAAAGAAAATACCACCTAGATATCTCAGTCCCGGCTCAATTCCCCGATTCCCACCCATACTCGTACATCTCTGTGAATGGCACAGCTGCTTTCATTAGAGCTACGGAGCAATGTGGGAGGAGCAGC